TAAAAAAAAGTCTGACGTTAAAATTTACAAATTAATTTTTTTTTTTAATTTGAAATTTTTTAAACTTATAAGCTTATTCGTAAAAATCCACAAAAATTTATCGATAATACCCAAGCTACAATTTCCAAATTCAAATAATAATTTTAACAATTTTTAATATATGCAAGAATGCAAAGATTGCAGAATAAATATGAGATATATTCCAATCTTTGAATGTCATATATTCCAATCATTGCAAATAAAGTTTTATAAGACAATGTAAAATATGTAAAAAAAGATAGAGAGAAAAGGAAGAGAGAGAGAGAGACTTCCATCGTTTTACTAACCCATGCTATTAACTAACGACCTTTCACAGTCCACTGCACACTACCAGAGTAATTAGCTGCGCTAACGAGAGATCGTTATGGCCAACCGCAGAGTCGTGGAAAAGGCGGCGATCTGTCCCTTGCGATGATCAATCGACGGTCATTTCACGCTGCGATTATGTACCATACAATAAGAATGTAATATTCATTATTTAATATATTGATCATATTAATATTGATGATAATTGGAAAATATTTCGAAAGATTAAAATTCCCGGAAGATTCCTAGGATCGAAAAATCTCACGAATGTAGACCTCTATTAAAATATTCATCCTTATGCTGCGCACAGTGGAAGCACAAGACCGAAGATCAGGAGATTTGGAGAGCTTGAAATTTCGTAAAATGCACGTATCTACTCAATAGTACATGTTTCCTACTCAGTATGTTTCGTTAATTTAAGAAAAGCGAAATAGAAAGGAAGAGAGAGAGAGAGAGAGAGAGAGAGAGAGAGAGAGAGAGAGAGAAAGAGAGGGAGAGAGAGAGACAGACAGAGAAAGAGAAACAGAGAGAGAGAGAAAGACCGAGAGAGAGAGAAAGGAGTGAGTAAGAGGTGCCTGGGTATTGTAAAGAGTTCTAGGTTCTGTATGCACTTCGCGTTGTAAACTCCGTCAAACTCCCAGTGCTTTCTGCGACGTGGAGGACCGACGTCGAAGGGTAGAGGTGGAGCAGGGAGAAAGGGCGAGCGGCCCGGTACATGCCGAAGACGCATTAATATTAATGTACCGGGATTTACTGCGACACGGCTGCTCGAGCCCCGTAGGATAGGATGTATGTTTACAAATACGTTTCTCAACGTATGTGTCGTACCACCCCCCCTCCCCGCTCAGTTGCATCTGTTCGCATTCTCCGCTAACGCGCGCGTTCGCTCTTCGCGTCGGCGGAAGTGGCGAATGGGCAAACTTGGACTAGTCGCGTCTTGGATCCGACCCGGCTCTTCAGGGCGCGTTCGCTCTAGAAGCGGTTACGGTTGCCCGTTAATGTGTCACGGGGAGGGATACGTGTCAGGGATAGTTTTGTGCCGCATCGGCCACATCGAGCTCCTCCTGAATGCGACGGTGGTTTAGCCACGTCATAGTGCCGAGGCTCCCGTTATGCATCATCGGATAGGTAGGTAGGTAGACAGGTTAACCTCGTAATTGAAAGACGAGATAACTGCGAGCGAAAAGCTCTACGAGCGACGATATTCTACGGGGGTCTTAAATTTAAAGATTGGGAAAGGAAGAATATCTAAATCCGAGAATTCGCAAATTTATCGCGGTGATCATCGATAAATTGAAAATTCAAGAATCTAATCATCGAAAGGAACGGAAAAAAATTGATTAAAAAAATGAAAAATGTAATTATTTCGAATCAGAGAGAAAGCATTATTCTTGATACGTTATCTGTGGGAAATTGTAATGAATAGAAAGCACCTATTATGTCTGCGCGCATCTATGTTTCGCCGAGGCTCGTAAAATCGCATCTCGCGATATTCGCGAGCGTCGTGTTAAAATATTCGTCGCAATTTCCCGCTCTCTCGTCGTTCGGATGACGCTTTACGCGCTGCGGTTACGCGCCTCCATAAATTCGCCCGCGTCCAAAGAGGGAGAGAAAGAGAGGAGAGACAAACGCGAGACCCGTCCATTTTTTTCGCCCAACGAGACCGGGATCGTTTGGACAACGGTCAGTTAATCGCGCGGGCCGCTCCAGTTGGCGAAAACAAAAGCGGCGGGGTCCTCCCCCGCGGAGGGCCCGACTCTAAAAAAAGAATAACAGCCGGTTGCGTGGCGATAAAACGCTCGACGCGTCCTATTCGCGAATACAGCCGCGGATATAGCACATGGCTGAGATCGGAAGTGGAAATGACACGAGGATAGCTATTAGGCGATTTGGGGCGATTTGCTCCGATTTCACGTCAAGGTATTTGCGCATGCATCAACGATTTTATTATCGCGAATAATTAAGCGTTGCAACGCAATGAACTAACCATTGTGCGACTCTTGTCAAGCGTAACAATTTATTATTCTCGGACATATAAATTTAAATATCGTGTCTCTTTAAATATTGAAAGCAGTCAATCTTTAAATCTTCAGCTTTTATAGTTGTAGTCTTTAATATCCCATTTAAAGAAAAAAAAAATTTTTACGTTTTTAAATTCTCGAATCTTGAATTTTTTAAAGTAGCTAAAGTTATTTATACAAATCAATTGACGCTGCTAGATGCAAAGTAATGATCTAGAAATAAACTCAGTTTATCAATCAACTAATTCCATTATCACGAAGGATAAAAAGAGACGGCGAGGAAAATCGGCGCGCAAGAAAATGTGTGCAAGAGGGAGTTGCTGGGAAGTAATTAAAAATTACGCTGCTCCTGGAGGATTATGGTCCGCTGAGAAAAATGGTGGACGTGAGGGGACCGCCGTGGGGAATGTCACGAGCACTTAACTTTTCTTTTCATGGTCGAGTTTGTTTCGTCTTTAAGGAACGAGCGAGCTTCCCCGGCGATAGTCGGCTACGAGAGAAGCCCGAGGGTGTGAGATTCGTAATTGAGGGTCGACGCCCTTGGGGCTCCCGAGATCTCGTATACTAGGAGCTTTTCCGTGCTTAGGCGTTTCAAATCGCGCAATCGATCGCGGAATCTGCAAATCGCGACATTAGAATCCCTGTGTGTGTCGGGAATTTGGAAATTTTTCCGCGCAAATTTTGTCCGGAGAGAGTTTTAATATCCCGAATTTCTATGGTAAATTTGTCGGGGGGAATTGATATCGGATTTCGCTGAAAGTGTAATACGATTTGTTTTCCGCAACACTTTCGTATATTGTCGGGCGTTGGAGTGCGCGAAGGCGTGCGTTTGCGTATTAATAACTAAATATTCCTCCCCCCCCCCCCGTGCACACAAACTGTTATTCATTAGTCAAACATTTGCCAAACTCCGAGCAGGAAAACATATTTCCAGCCGATTAATTCTGCAGCATCGATGAAATTTGTCGAACTCTATCAGCGAATGAAACGTCGTCCCTCGAAAATGTTATTTCGCGACGAGAGTAAATCCGTGTCACGCAGCATGTGTTCCAAGCGACTAAGTTAGTCTAACCGTCGGTAGAATGAGGGGAGAAGAGAGAAAGGGAGAGGTGAAAGAGATGTATCCAGAGTACTCTAATTACCGAGGTGGATTGGGACGAACTTAACGTTTGTACAAGCAGAGAACGGGACACACAATACGGAAGTTTCACGCGGACCTATGGGTTTATATTCGTGATCAGGATCTTTCCTTAATCCGCGCTGTGCCTCAAGTGGTTTCGAGAATCGGTCCAAGTCCACTCCACTTAGTAAATATCCCATGAACTTCTGTTGGAGTTGGCAATTATATCGCTCCCAATTCGATCGTGCATCTCTCTCCCTCCTCTCCCTCCTCTTTTGTTCTCATTTCGCTACAAGGCGATATAATAAGTCGTCTATAACTAGCATCGTTAAATTGTAAATTAATAAACTCTTTCTCGCAATACTATAGTCTGTCTTCGAAAAGGAGCACAAATATATTTTAAAATTTAATCCCAAGTTCTTAACGATTTATTTTATTCTCTGCGTCATGCAGATTTTCTTATATTTTTAGTACAAATTTCATTTACATCATTTATACAAAATTTGCCTGAAAGTGTGAAAAGTGAGAATTTTAAACCGAGAGCATAGAGTACAATCTAGCTATCTTATCTTATATACGTTTAAATGGTAAGTTATAGGGCTTACAACTCAGCTTACACTCTGAAAAAGGTAATTTAATTCACCTACTTAACTCGTTTAGATTGAAGAATGTACCTACATTATCTTTGCCTCGAAGAGAGGCATTCTCACATCAACAATTGTAAGAAACTTTATTGGGGCCCATTATCACGGTTCTAACAATGGATATATTAAATCCTTGAAATTGTAATTAAGAATTGTTACAATGAATATACATATGCAAAAAGCTTTTGCTCAAATCTTCTTTTTTTATTTATTTGAGGATGACATTTTCTGATGGAATATCTCATATACGAGTATATAAATTAAAATATATCCGATAATCAGCATACATGTGCTATACAGTTTTTATCGAAATAATCTTTCTGGTATTAAAATTTAATTAGAGGCTATAATTCTTCTTGAAAAGTTGAAAAATTTTAGTTAAATATATCTTGATATTTCAAAAATCATCTTGACAAAATATTTTGTCAATTTAAACTAGAAAATAGATTCAATTCAATTTAAACTAGAAAATAGAGCGCTGTTATTTATTTAAATTCCTGGAAAACAATTTGCTTATTTTTTAATCGCAATTCATAAACTATTTACCGTTTAGATATTTTGTCGAGGAAAGATCGTGTAATATCGTCACGCGTATCATACGCATCCATTATACCAAGCACTTGTTTGATATTCAATTTCCGTTTAGATTTTGATCCCCGCTCAAAAATCGAAACAGATGTATTGATATGAGAATTAAAGTATCTCTCGTAATCCGCGCGACGCAATTGCTGCGTAGTGAAAAGGTGACGTCACGTGTTCGCGGCGGTCGCACGCGTAGGAGGAGTAGGGCGCTGGAGGGGGAAACTCGGCTGCCACGCCGAAGACTCGTTGCGACGGGGTTGGTGGGGGGTAAGAGAGGTTGAGGCATGGAGAGGGCGCAGTACCGCGCTATCCTTCGTATCGTTGACACGTCGAGCGGAAAGAGTGCGGCGACAGATAGAGAAATCGCGGTGAGAGGAGAGGAAGAGAGAGAGAGAGAGAGAGAAACGTTCGCGCGATCTCGCGCTCGCTCATCGACCGGCGAATCGCTTTAATCGCCGATGCGAAAATAATTATCTTTTTGACGCGATTACGGTGTCCTTGTCCGTGGAGAATTTCCGGCTTCGCGACGTCCCGCGAGCGCGTGTCAGTGTCGCGTTGACTCTCGTCGATGATCCATCGGTGATCGATACGCGTAGATCGTCCGCGTGGTGAACGTTTTATCCGCGAGTGAATTGGTGAATTGTCTCTCCTGTGCCTGGTAATCTGCTGATCGCCGCAAGGACGATGCTGACGTTCCTCTTCGCCGCGGCGTTCGTCGTCGCGACGCCGAGAATCCACGCCAGTCATGTGACCATGGACGCTAAGATACGCGACGACTCCGATCTGTCTCAGGTAAGTGAGAATCGTGTGTGTGTGTCTCTCGTTGATCGCGATTCAAGATGACGTCACGCGAATGTGCGGCACCGACCCCGCGTGTCCTTGGACTTTCACGTAGGTACGACCGTACGCGCGAGAATTGTGTTTAAATCAACGAACGAGCGCTGACGGGAAATTTCAATGCAGCGAACGCTCATCGCCGATGATTGCGCAACGTGTTCCGTGACGTCATGAAAGAATCGAAAGATTTTTCTCGACTATTATCGAGAATTTTTGTGATTTTTTTTTCATACAGCATTTTGCTTCCCTCGGAATTTTTTTGCCTTTTCATCGCGTTTTTCGCCATCGAATTTGTAAAATTTCTTTTTGACGAATGTCGACAAAATTCCAATGAATTCCGGCAAAGGAATGTGACGGAAACGAGGAAAATTAGCGTGAATCATTAAATTATATTAACTATGCAACCTGCGGTTAGTACACTCATGTTGATAATTTCTTTGTAAGATCAAAGACGTATGCTTCATAAATCGTTACTACATCAAAGTTATTGAAATGTCGAAATTTCAAATGGTGATCTAATTTTCCAACGTTCTCTATTAATTTCTAATTTAACAATGAATCAAATAAAAGAGTATGAATAGATGAAAAGTTTAAAAGAGAGACGGGTCTTTGTTATAAGTCATTTTATTTTTAAAACGGAGAATACGTCCGAAGAATAAGAAATGTCAAATCGAAATGTCAAGTGGAAATTAATTATTATTAAGGTTTGATTACTTCGTTACTTTTTTTAGCGTCTCGTTTAAATACAATTTTCTATCTTTTCAAAATTTTATATCAATTTTGTTATTAGAGAACTGTCGCTTGCACAGTTTTTTAGAGAGCCACAGGAAATCGATTATGTTTCAGAGTGACACTTCTGTCATACGTCATGTCGCTCGATTTTTTCCGCATGAAATTCACGATTCGGCATAATCGCTGGATTTATCCGTTCAGCAATACTTGTTCATTTCAACGTTGTTTAAGCCTTGCATATCCAATACGAGATCACCGAGATGACTGTAAATCAATTTTTTTTTTTTTACTAAAATGGACAAATTTATTACATTGTATTACATCAACTGATATTTTCGCGGTTGCCTGTTACTTATCTTGAATTTTGAAAGACCTCATCGTCGAGCATTATAATAATTATAAAGGATAAATTGGAAAGATTCACACGCGGATGATAAGACACGAAAGATCATATCGAAGAAATTTCTTTTTCGGAATGTTGAAGAGTGTAGTAAGATGAAGAAATATGAAGGAAAAGAAATCGAGTTTGATCTCGTCTTGGATAGTTTCGTAAGCGGAATAACTCTCGGACAAGCGAAAGTTTAAGAATGTCGAGAGAAGCTTGGCGTCTTCTTCCGAAGAACGGTTCGAAATTTCGGAGCGGTTTGCATGAGTAGATGGTGAGTTGCATCTCACCCAGGTGGTAAACTGATCGCCCGACTCGATGATGTATGCAGTCGTGGGAACTTTTCCGGGTGGAAGGAATAGGGAAAGGGAGCAGGGGAGGAGGAGGAGGAGGAGGGAGCAGAAAAGTTCGTAAATCGGGTGTGCGAGATGTTTCTAACTCGGTTGAATAATGTATGAAACCGGCGGTTATTTACTTCATTAACTTCTTTCACGTGGCTGTAATTAAATTGCGCGAACGAAAAGTTGCGCCTAACTCTCATTAGTCTATATTTTTTTTCTACGGTTAATCGGAATTCATAGCGATTCCGAAGTTGCATTGCCATTTCGTCGCACATCGAGCCTTCTTGATAAATTGATAAAGTTTTATCCATAAGAATGGGGAGAGGACTTCTCTTGCAACCGATTTCAATGATCACGTTATCGGTCGTTACATATAAATTCACATAAAAGTGCAATGCGCAGCAGATGTCGTAAAAAAAAAACATAGACTAATCTGTCAAGTAACGTTGGAATACTTACAGATCTCGGATAATGGACCGGTAAAAAAAAGGGAAGTTTTTTTAATCTGCCCAAACGAGCAGATGTCAACGCAGCGTTGTTGCGCTTTTTTTTTACAGAATCATTAATTAACACGATAATACAATACTGCCGCGCAAATTTGGTCGTAAACGCCACGATAGTGCGAAAAGTTGTTAAAATTTAACAACATCTGCGGGAAAATAAAACGCGACTCGTTATCTTCGTTACTTTCGCTCGTAACTCGATAGTGAAATGTCGACTACAATTAAACGATGTAGTAATGGCGAATCATCAGGATAATAATCATTTAGATATTTTGATGTACTATCATTCTTCATAGTAATGCCTGTTCTCGCGATACACATAGGATGAGTCATACGCTACTTCGTCGAAACGACATTCCAATTTTAGAAATTAGGTTTATAGCACACACTACTCCCATTTCATTGAATGACTCGTTTAATAAAGTATAATAAAGTCCCTTGAAAGAGATACGGTGTATTAACTCTTTCTCGAAACGGAGTTAGCTCGCACGCGGTATATCGCGTCTTCCGTGCACATGTGGCGGCTCTTTCTCATTATTTCGCTCCCTTGCTTAGGAAACCATGCGGTCTACGCAGCGCGACGTCATCAAGACACTCTCACGCGTGGGATGTACGCATACGCGTGCGTGCATCGTGCGTGCGCCCGCAGCAGAAACGGTAGCGCGCGGTTCCTCTCTCTTCGGTCAATGACGTGATTTCAGTAACAGACCTCCAGTTGCTCCTTTGTCTACCAGCACAAACGGAGCCCCGACGGTTCTTAGCCTCTTTTTTCCAATCGAGTCACAGACAAAGTTCAAACATCTTCGTGACCATGATTCAATCCAATCGGCACATTCTAGTCGATTAAATCACGCGGCAAAGCGAACAGAGATAGACTTCTTATTTATTCCAGAGATCGGGAGAAAAATCGCCATAAATTAATTCTCGATAAATGCGACATTTTTAGCAAGTTTAAACAAATATTTTTATATCGATTTAAACAAATATTTTATATTATCAAAGGTTCGTTGGAAATAATGTAATCGACCAAAACTAGCCAAAAAATTGTTTGTTTATTTGTTACGACGTTTCGACCATATGGTTTTTTTGGCTAGTTTTGGTCGATTACATTATTTCCAACGAACCTTTGATTAATTGACTAGCGATATTAAGATAATTTATAAATATATTTTATATTATGTAATCGGCATCTATTCTTACATCTCTTGATATGCCTTCGATCGACATCCTCTTCGATTTGCACTAGATCAATTCGGAAGTGCGCACGATTAGCTTGACGAGGCGAGTCGGTCGGATCAGTATTTTTCATTACGTCAACCGGTCGACGCGACATGCTGAATCACGTCGGGTGTGTGTGTAGGAGGAAATTCCACTCTATTAAAAGATCGTGTCGACCCACGGGGTTATAATCCGTAGGTTAAGAGCCCCTGGTGGTAATATCTATCTACCTACGAGAGAACGAGCGATCCGTATTTATATCTGCCGCGCCAGCAACACCTGCTGCTGCCGTCGCGCCTGGTCGGCATGAATGGAGCTCAACGGGACTTAGCGTAAATATCGTACGAAAAAAAGAGTGAAAGGCGCGCAAGCAAGGCCGCGGTTTGCCACGGAAGAAAAGAGCGTGAGAAAGCCCCGGCGCCTAGTTACGACGTCACTCTCGTTCTTTGACACTGAATAAACGTGACCTCGGATGGTCCACGAGCGCTCCGAGATTGTTATCGAATCGGTACATGATTGCCGACGATGGTCTTGATTATTGCTCGCGTTCCGCTCGGTCAATTATACTTATCATCGTTACATTGCCTAGCATTAGCCGCATATTTTATGATTATTAAAAATTCTCTCACTGTGTGTGTGAACATTTCTGTGAAATGCTACTTGTGTTTTGATATTTTCACTGAGATATTTTTAATAATGAATAATGTAAAAATATGTAATCACTTTTCGGAGTATCTTTGAAATTTCATCTCTGCAACTAAATTACTAAATGTTTCGTGTATGTTAAATTTTTATTTTTAATTTAATATACTCCGCCTCTTTTTTATTTAGAGAGATAAAGTATAAAAATTTATAATTAATTTATACCGGAGTAATTAAAAAAAAATATATATATTATTTATAATTCAGAGAGAGAATTTTTTTTCGAGTGTTTGAAACCTAGTAATATTCCTTGTTAAGGAATATATAATATTAGTGATTTGTGCCGATTAATTGATCGTATAACGCTTGATTTTCTACGCAAAAGGAAAAAATTTTTACAGTGGACATTAGCTGGCCCGTATAGACTTTTCGATGTCAGTATCGAATGAAAGCTGGCGTTCGTCCCGTCGACGACATTACAATAATGCGTTTCTTGCCTCCCTCTCTCCCCGACTCGGCGGGGGCGAGCGATTCCGCCCGGCAACTTGTTGCTGCGACAAAAATCGCCCGGACGGTTCGCGTCGGGGGTTAGTTTTAGCCCCGATCGATTCGGCAAACTATTTCCAAACATGAAGGTATAGAAGCCCATTTTCGCGGACTTTATTTACTGGGCCAATCGTCCTGCGGGCAAGGTTTTACGAGAGGGAATATGTAGTCGGACATGTGTAGAGGTAGTGTGTCGCCGCATGCACGATAGCGAAATATAAATTTACGTCTCGCAATAGTATCTTATATCCATAATCCAGTATGTAACGTTCGTGTGTAACTTTAAATGTGCCAATAAATTGTATGAAAATGGAAGTCATCTGTATGGGTCGTAGGAGGTACGAATGGTCGACGATAAAATTCGAAGAGAATAATGTGAAAAATCGACATCTCGTCTTGTTAAAGAAATGACATAGTAGCAATAATGTAACTTTAGTTCTGTAATCTCGCTATTAGCATGTTGCGGTCGAAATATGTAAGGATTTACAAAGCCTCGAGATAAGAAATTGCCTGGAAAGTATCTTTCCAGTCAAAAGGTCGCAAACGTACGAGAGAAATCTCCTAAGAGAATTACATAAGTTGAGAGAA